CTTCCTTCGCCGTCCTCTTTTTGGCGCGACCCCAACAATTCCTTTGTCAATCGCCTGTCGCTGAAAACTCCCCCGCTCGTTTCATACATTCGGCTCGCCGGCCTCGTGACTGACTCGCGCCTCAGGAACGCACCTGCCAACTCTCTGCGGTCTAGACTTTCAGGTCATTCGCGCCGCTTGATAACCACACATCATGGCTTGACAAGGCCCTCTTTGACTTGGGTTTTCATGTGTCAACGGCCCCGCGACATCTCAGCACTGAAACTCCGTCTGGGGAAACAAGCTTTTGGCGCAGGCAAATGAGTAACCTCAGTAGCGGCGCAAATCGGGGAACTGAATCGCGCATTATCGATGCTCAAGACAGTTTGCGAGCCAGCCGCGAGCCAGCATTACAAGGGAGACATACTTTGGGAAGCATCATTCTGCGGGCGAGCCACCCTGCGCCCTCTCGAGGCGGACGTGAGAACTGCATTTTGGTTACATCCTTAGTTCGGCAAGGTTGCGGAAATATCCCTCAGGCACGGCCTCGGACGTTGCAGTGACCATTCTCAAAGGTTTACATTAGTTGTATGCTTCAGTCGTACAGGAACAGCATTCCCTAGCAGATAATCTCAACGATAGCCCATGGGCCGAGTCAGAACAGATATCAGGCCTGTTAAGCATTACGCAACAACCGGCTTAAGATGCCGGACTACAGCCCCGCCTGAAGACGATTGTCAGGCGCATCTGCTTGAAAGACGCCATTGCTGCGGTTTCGACTCGTGAACGTGATTGTCGATATGTCGTTTAAGGGGGTATATGTGGGAGATGGCTGTGTGACGGACATTCGTGCGACGAGAACCGAAACATCACCATTCGAACTAGCGCCCGCACAATGTTCCTTCTGCTCAGGATAGAGTCCGAGGAAGAAGAGTTCAGCGGAGGCGCTTCACATGTTGCTGCCTCTCCTCGCAGGTGCGACTCGCTCCGCCAATTCTGGAGAGATCATGGTATAAGGGAGAGAATGAATTTGACAGCTGATGTTCTCGCTATCCGATTGCCTTGAAAGACAATACCAGTAGCAAGGCAAGCACATCAGGTCGCCTAGGGCGTGTGCCATTTGGTCACAAAATGAGTTATAAACCCAGGCAGACGTTACAACTGGGATCATTCGCTTGTGGTTCTTGGCTGCCGATGAGTGTGGTTGATCAGCATAGATTCTACGGCAAATATCAAGGTTTCAACAGATTGTACCACCATGCAGGGAGGTCCAATAACCTTGGCTAAGTGATGCTGGTCAGAATGAGTCGTACACCTGCTTGAGCTGTGGTGTTGCGAATCCAGTAATCGCATGCCTAGTTCAAATAGGATGGCGCCGGTTGGTTCCGTTTGGATACCATACGTTCTGGGCTGCCAGCCTGATATCGAGGATCTTGAGCATCGTCGTAATGCTAGCAGGCCAAGCCAAATTCTGAAATGAGATTTGGCGAGACGTTGGTCTGCGCCACGTTTGTCCGCGGAACAGCCGTCCTCCAGACCCGCACCCTTGAGTGAATTATGTGCGATCGACGCTCGAAAATATGACGGCATCAGAGGCACACTGCTGGCCTACGTGCCAAGCCACAGAATGACTTCATCCTCTTCGTTGTGGGTAACTTTGGCCCCTGACGGCCCGTCAGACAGAGACAATACTATAAGCCGTTTTGATAACGGCCGGCGACTGATATTCTACGTCAGACATAGGTAGCATATTCGATACTGAAAGCTTCGAGTGTACGTTGGTTATTCAAGTCATAAATTGAGCGGCTGTATTTGCGTTGGCTCTTCATCGAGCCAACCAGTGACCTCGTCGTTTAGTTTAGAGGTTCGTACTCAATCGCGTAAATTACTTCCAAGGTATGGTATTATTTAGATTCAATGTAAGTATAAGAGTCGAGGCCAGCGGATATAACAGAGGTAGAACTTCTTAACTTAAGTTCATTTGCACAATAGCATAAAAAAACAATTAGTACTTGAGGAAAACATTCAACTATGTAATGGTATTTAGCATTTCCTGCATCACTGTGGGTCTGCCGCTCATCATTTACCAGCACATGATACGTCAAGTTGGAAGAGTTGCTACTAGCTCTTCTCGCAGTCTTTGACGATTGACTTCAACGTTGGTTCATACGCCGTTACCTTATATTGAAGCTGTAGACTAGTAACAAGTAATCGGACAAAGCTATTACTTACTCTTCTCATCGAACATGATTGATTTGCAGAGGGAATGGCAATCCGAGTTAATAACCTGCTGTCAAATATGAGAAGTAGATAGTTGTCGAAGGCTCTCCTCCTCTGAATTTGAAAGGATCCTCGCCCAGCACTGCTATATAAATTGATACGATACCCGAAGCGAGATAACATGGCCGTAAATGAAGTTATCGCTATCACAGTGTCACAATTCATCACCACTGATTATCAAACACCTTGCCGTCCACCTGGTTAACCATCACAGTTACCCACGGCAGCTCCTCTCGCCCAGCTCCAAACGCCATGCCCTTGCTCATGACCTTGCGATAATTCTCGCCAGGGTTCACCTTTCCCAGAACGTATGGTCTTCTCGTCTCCACACGGTCGGGCACAGGGATGCTCCGCCCGACAATGGCCTCCATGCCCTGCCAGGCAAATGTGACGGCCTCTTTCGCACCCCCAGGGATGCCCGCGTCATCGAGCATGAACATCTTGACACCAGGCAGCTGTTCCTTCATATAGTCCGTAATATTGGGGTTATACGCGCCACCGCCGCACATAAAGACTTCGTCCACCTGGCGCTCACCGGGCTGGTACCGTTGCCAGTGGTCAACAATAGCCTGTGACGTGATCCTCGTGACCGTTGCGACAACGTCATCCGGAGAGAGGCCGAGTGCCTCGGCGTCACGGATCAAATCATCTGCCAGCGTGTCACGGAAGACCTCGCGCCCCGTCGTCTTGGGCGGGTCCCACGAGAAGTACTGTATGGACTTCAGAAAATCATCGACGAGAGGCTGGCATACAGTTCCGCGCTTCCCCATCTCACCGTTGTGGTCATACTCCATCGCGCCCGCCGTGTAATGCCTGACCACAGCGTCAATGAGGGCATTCCCCGGCCCAGTATCAAAGTCAAAGGCGTGCTCGGGTCCCTCGGGTGGGATGAAGCACACGTTGGCGATGCCGCCGATATTCTGACACGCCCGCAGCTTGCTCGGGTGGTGCAGCAGCAGCGCATCGAAGAAGGCGATCAGCGGGGCGCCCTGCCGACCGGCCGACTGATCAGAAACGCGAAAGTCAGTCACGGTAGTGACACCGGTACGGGGCAGCGATAATGCTCCTTCGGCCATGGTAAGAGCCGACCTCGGAACACCATGCTGTGGCATGCTGGCGAGCCAGATGGTCTGCCCATGAGAGCCGATGGCGTCGAGCGACTTCAAGTCGACGTTGTTGTCCTCGCAAAACTTCTCGGCCGCCACGGCAAACACCTCGCCGAGTAGAACGTTGACTTCGGATAGTTCCGAGGCGGATGTGCGATCGTGCTTGATTATGTTGAGCACGCGCTTTTTGATAATGGGATCCATGGGCGTCTCGCCATATTTCAGAAGGGAGAAGTGCATGGGTGAATCTGGCGTCTCCTGATGGAATCGACAGAGCGCGCAGTCGATGCCGTCCTATACAGCTTGTCAGTGCTATTCTATTGCGTAGGGCTGAATTGATGCGAGATCCAGCGGTCCAGCAGCCAACAGCAAGGGTGTGGTATTCTCCGCTTGTCGTGGGGTGCCAAGAGCGTCTCTAGGGGCGCTCGGAAACAAAAATCAATGAGCCGATCTTAGTGCCAAATGAAACGTGACGATCAGAGATCGGAGACTCACCATGGAGGTTCCGCTATTCATTCCCAGAACAGTCAGGTCCAAGGGCTGGCCTTCAGCCTTGTCGTGGCTGTCAGCGACTATATGCCCGTTCGCATGGCCACTGGTATGTCCATGCCCATTCGTCGCTCCAGGCATGATGAGAGGCAGAAGTGCAAATGTCAAAGATGCATTGGCGTATCCATGGGAGTGCCTTGAGATCGTCATCCGACAGGCTGTCTTGCAGGAAGGGCAGTCCTATATACTTTGGCCACCCGGACTTCGGAGTTCAGATGTCTGTCAGACATCGGAAACAGAACCAGCCCCCGAAGTGTTTCCCCGCAGCTGTCATAACCGTAGCGCGAAAGGATCCGCTGTGCCACATTCTCACCACTACATCCAGGGCCGATTCTGGCGGTTGTTTGGACGAGTCGGAGGATGCAAGCGGAACCGCGTGCATGACCACACCACCGTCGCCGAGTCTCAATCCAAGCAAATGGAGGCCGAAGATGCGGCAAAGCGGCTACAAGCTTAAGAGGATAATAGACCACTCAATTGCACAGCTTCAGCAGCTGTCAATCGTCGCTTAACCGTCTAACCGGATGCGTGCTTCCACTGACTCGTTGGGAAAACCCTTTGACAGGTGACAAAGGGAGAAATTTGTCCCAAGCACCAGGCACGCGGTGGAGCCTATGGTCCGGGAAAAAACAGTCTGGAGACGACACATGGCGGGGAATGCTGCGGAGTGGTGGAGGAACAACAGACATCAAGTACATGACGACACCACATTGAAGCACCTTACCACCGTTGGGGTTCAGTTTCAGTATCCCACGACATCCGATGGCACAGGGGCTGGCATCAGCAACGCACATCAGGCGAGGCAGGGTGTTGACCAGGTAGGTGAGCGTAAGCCAAGGCCCGGCAGGGCCCAACAGACGCCCGAGCACACACCATTAGAGGACAAACCGGCCTGGAATGTATATGAGGGCGCTGCCAGACGATCTGAGAGTGTGAAAAACTCTACATCTCCAGGCATCTGCTCATCGACCTGGTTTCTTATCTCACGACAATACTGGTCATTGGTCCTCTTGCCTGTCACCTTTTCCTCACTCCTCAATCCTGCTCAAACCTGTGGCTTGAGCTTTGCCCGAGCTCCCCGCAACTATGGGCTACACAACGTGGTGGAAGCGGCTGTCGCCGAGACAGCTGAATATTGCTATCCAGACCTTTTCGGTTATCAGCATCTTCTTTGAAGGCTATGACCAGGGCGTCATGGGTGGCGTCAATGCCTCACCCCGGTACGTCGAGGAGGTAGGCATTGGACTTCCAGATGGTACTGTCACGGATACGCTTCACCAAGGCGGCATTGTCTCCGTATACTACCTGGGATGCATCGCGGGGTGTTTCGCTGGTGGTTGGCTTGCCGATGGCATCGGCCGTATCAACGGGTATGCCTGTAGTGACAGACTCCGTTCCGCTGCAAGAAAGTCACTGCTGACAGGCTCTCAGTCTCTTCATCGGTTGCATTTTCGCCATGATCGGCGGTGCTCTGCAGGCGGCTGCTCAGTCTAGCGACTTCATGATTGTCGCTCGCGTCATCACGGGCATCGGCACGGGTGCCCTCACGGGCATCACCCCCGTCATGGTGTCCGAGACGTCAACGGCGGAGCACCGCGGCGGCTTTCTGGGCTACGTCTTCATTGCTAATTATCTCGGTATCTCAGTAGCCTACTGGCTCTCCTTTGGCCTCGCCTTTATCGACGGCGGGTACTCGGACGTCCGATGGCGGTTCCAGTTGGCCTTTCAATGTCTTCCAGCGTCGCTGCTCTTTCTGGGCATCAAGATGTTGCCTGACACGCCCCGGTTCCTCGCTTCTGTCGGCAGATACGATGAGGCCCGCGAGGTCATCGAACACGTTCGCGGCAGTTTCGGCCCCGTGGTCGAACGCGAATTCCTCGAGATCAGGACTGTTGCCGAGGAGAGCACCAAGAGCTCACCTATCGAGTTCATCAAGATCCTGTTCGGCCGCGGACCTAAGCCAGGATACAACCTTGGACAGCGTGCCTGGCTCTGCCTGTTCCTCCAGATCATGGCCTCCTGGACGGGCATCACAGCTGTGACCGCCTACTCGCCCGTTCTCCTGTCGCAGGCTGGCTACACCGAGCTGACGCAAAACGGACTGGCTGGTGGCCTCAACACGGTCGGTATCGTGGGCACAATTATCAGCGCCCAGATTGTCGATCGCCTGGGCCGAAGGACCTGCCTCATGGGCGGCGCTCTTGCTCTCTTTGCCGTGAACCTCATTGCCGGTTCCCTCTATGAGGGCTCGCGGGCTCATCCCGATCGAGCGTCCCAGTTCGCTCCAGTCGCGGTAGCCATGCTCTTTCTCTTCAACCTCTCGTACGCCGCGACGTGGGGCACGATTGCATTCTTGATTCCCACGGAAATTTGGTCTTCGGATTTGCGCGCCCAAGGCAACGGATTCGGCATCACGGGTTGGGCCATCGGTGTTGGTATGACCACGCTGGTGAATCCGATCATGTTTGACGTCTTGGAGAACCGGACATACTTCTTGTTCGCCGGTCTTAACCTGCTCTGGGTCCCCGTCATCTTCCTCTGTAAGTGAGCCCCCTCACCTAGCCCTGCGCTTCTCGCTGACCAGATATGCTGCTTCCCAGTCTACCCTGAAACAACCGGACGCTCACTGGAATCAATCGATGCTCTCTTCGCAGCCAACAGCATCTTCAACACGAACATGGAGCGCAGCTACGTGGCCCACGGCGATGTATTGGCTGAGCGAGTCAATCATGATAACCAAGTGGCGTCGGCAAGCGATAGTGGATCCAAGCCAGGACCTCCCGAGTCGGCCGAGAAGCTGCAGGTTTGATGGAAGAGGGCTAAGCGCGGAACAAAGAACGACAGAAAACTGCAAGGCGCAAGATAAAAGTTCGGAGGCGACCATCCTAAAAGGCGCCCAAAAACGAGTCATTGGATAGGCTGCGAAGCCCCGGAACAATAGTGTGTGATACCCTAGTAAAAGCGACGGTGGCTTCGCGACCCTGCGTGGACACCCGCTTCGAGCCTTTGTTGCCACAAACATTTTCCCGTGGCAATGCAACTGCATGTCTGCAAGGCTTGCGTCGTGATTCAGTCTGCAGTAAGGTTTCCTTGTCAATAATGCGTTGAAAGCCCTCAGCGAAAGCCTGTCCGACATGTAATGGTGCGGCTCAGGTGGCATCTTGTTTTGCTGGTATCCTCATGTCGGCCCGGTCTTGCTGGCAATCACAGCACGGCGCGCTGTGAAGGGGGGCGTCGCACGGCTGCGCCGTGGCTGACTAGTGCCGAGTCTGAACGATATAGCTCTACAGGAATTTCGCTTGTATTAACCAGGGTCCCCAAAGAACGGGAACTGGCTCTGGTACATGTTGAACGACCAGTCCCAATTTTGCAAAAGCTCGTCGGGGATCTGGAATTGAGGGGAGATCCCGTTGGGGCCAATCGGCGGGTTCTCGGTGCTTGCCGATGCCATAGGTAGCACCTCATGAGGTATCGGCTGACCCGCAACCATCTGACGTCGAGAGACCATGTACGCGTCAATGCGTTCCACTTGTTCGCGAAGCCTGCGTCCGGCCCCAGCGCGCTGGTGATGGAACGATTCGAGGCTCTCGAGGAGGTCAGCCATGGACAGGAGCAGATCACGGACGCGCTGGTACGAGCTCTCAGACATGGGGCCCTCCATGACGGATCCTAAGATGTTGCCGATGCCTCCGATATGATAGATGAGTGGCGTGCTGATAGCTCTCTGGAAGGCTTTTGGTACCTGGTGAAAGATACCCAAGACATCGCTGGCGATGGAGCACTTCTGGTCGAGGTCGACATTCTGCTCTAGGGAGAGAAGAGCCATACGAAGCAGGGCGAGCGTGGCCTGGATGTTTGCGGCTTGGAAACCAAAGATGTCGTGTTCCAGTTGACCTGTAGCCGCGCGAAGGTCCTTAAAGCTGGATGGCAGGTGAGTGTACATGACGGTGATCTGGTCGTTGATCTGCTTGATTGTCTCGGCTGTATCAGGGGCCCGCCCGGCAGCAAAGAGGTTGAAGCGTGACGACCGAGTCCGTAGCTTGCAGATGGCATGCTCAAGGATACGGTAGAGATCTGTCGTGAAGTTCCAACCAAGTATCCACGGCTGACTCTGGCGCGGCACACCAGGTTCAGGCTGGTCGCCGCTGGGGTAAGCAACTCGGGCATGCGCCTCCTGGAAGTGGATGCAGCCATCCCACACGATAGAAGTGAAGATGTCCAGGGTGTAGATGGACCAGTACTGCACATGATTAGCAGTCGATCATACTACACATGCAGGAGAAAGTCTTTGTCAATTTCATACCAAGCGTCGACGTTCCTCAAGTTCCACAGGTGACAGACCAGGGGGCCAGGTTGCCTCGTCATGCCACTGCCACGTCGCCGTCATGGTGAAATAGTGACCGATGTACATGCGCATGGCATCGATCTTGCCGTCCTGAATGCTTGCGATTGCGAGCAAGGCACAGGCGCGAAGAAAGTCAAAGTCCTGCGAATGGAGCAAATCGCCTGGTAGAGTGTCCTGGGCTGCGGAGAGGAACGTCTCAGGCGGCATGGTGAGGAGTTCCTGAGAGTGACTGCCGAGAGAGACAAGGGCCCCGTCACGCACCCGAGCCGAGGCGAGCGCGCAGGCGGCCATGATCGAGCAAAAGAAACCGCGGTTGTGGACTTGCTCGTCGGCTGAGAGCCTGCGGTCAACATTCGGGCGGTCGAAGAGAGGAAAGCTGCACCAGTTGGTTAGGATGAAGTCCAGCCTCGAGCCGGACGGTTGGACGAGATGAGTGGCAACTCACATGGGATACACCGTCTCAAAGTAGACGGCCAGCAATTTTCTTACGAGAGGCGACGATGCGTGAGCGAACGCTTTCCAGGCAGGACTCAGCGAAGCGTCCTTCCTGTCGCGAGACACAGTGCCGTTCAGCAATGAAGCGGACACGGGTGGAAGTGGGAGCGGTCGCACAGCTCCTCCATTCGGGTGGCCATTCAGGGTGCCATAGCGGCCAGGCTGCAATACAGGCTCTGTCGTCGAGTTGGCCGGCGAGGGCGTCGCGGCGTGCGCGAGGCAGCCAGCTCGATTGGCAGCGGCTGCTTTACCCCTCTTCAGCGGACGCGAAGATTCACACTCGATATCAAAGTCGGCGCAGTTCTGACAGCGATGAGGATCGCTTTGGCTGGCGCGACACTTGATCCTGCGATGATGGCAGTAGTCGCCTATGGCGGGTATGTTAGCCAGGTCATGGTCGACGCGTCTTTCAACCCGGTGCGACTGCCGGTGGCGACATGTCACGACAACACGACCATGAGGGGCCTGAAGGGAGTGTCCGGTCAGTCACTCACATGCTTTCGAGACCCGCAGCAGACGCCGAGGACGCGACTCAGACATGGTCACTGCTGTCGATGTGCGTGGCGGGCAAGACTGGAAACGTCGAGCAAGGATACATTGATGCGGTCAAGCCCAGATCGCGCTTCAACTGGCCGTATCAATGGCTGGCAACGATACGAACTGCGATGGCAGATGGCGAGAAGGGCTCCGACGAGGTTGGTGAAGGAGACTGTGGCCGACGAACCGCGAGCTGGGGATACAAAGGATCGAATCGTCCAGATTGGGGTGGGTGGGGTTTCATCCATGGAAGCTATGTGACCCAACATGCAGGTTTGGGCGGGGTTCGGACACCCACTTAGTAAGCCAAGAAGTGTCCTTCTCGTAGCAGCGGCTGCCTACGATGCAGCTTAGGTAGGCATTTTCCCCCTGTGGCCTGATCATGGAGCAGAAGGGCCCCAAACGATATTGTCTCTTTTCTCTCTTTCTGACCTCTAGATGACCGTATCTTGGGCTTGGCGCATCGAATACGGCACACCATCGGATTCCCAGTCGACGAGACTCAAGAGGGGGGGGGGTGCTTACCTGAGCTGACTTTGCCATGGGCCATCCTTCCAGGGGCCCAGATTCGACCCGGTTAGCTCGACACTCGTGCTTTCACGCACCTCTACCTTCTACACGATGACCACAATGGCTTTGGCCCAACTTGCAGTCGGCCTGGAGTGTCTCGACTGTCATGAACCAGGATCAACCTACTCCCAAGGACGGCTGGGTGAACCAAGCGTCTATTTGGAATCATCGGTATTCTTCGAGCTACCTGTTCGTCAAGCTGCATGCACCCAGTTATCACCTGTGTTCAAAACACAAACAAAACTTCAATTACTATCTCGTGTATCACAACGTCCCTTCGTTGGACGTCGGTCACCGCCGCCACAGACCACCTTGATTACGTCCCCCGATATCACCGCCCGCACCAAGATAAAGCACCCGTTAATGAAGGAATTGGCGCAGTAGATAGCCGCGATTACATGTTGTTGAAGGCGACAACGCCAGCGCCGAACAGCGCCGCAACACCCACGGCAGCAGTGCGCATGGGCGCGGCCTCGGTGCTGGTGCTGGTGCCGCCGCCGCCCTCGGCGCCAGGGTTAGCGCCGGTGGCGATGGGCGCGGTGGACGTGGGGCCCTCGACGCCCGACGTCAAGGGGTTGGCGCCGCCCGAGACCGTGCTGGCGCCGGTGAAGGCGGGAACAGGGGTCGAGGCCGAGGGGTCGGGCGTGGCAGTGGTGTTGCTCGGGTTGAGAACGCTGAGAACCTTGTTAGAAAGGGGTCGCGATACGAAAGGGCGCTTCAAGAGAGCAAGAGAATGGTAAACTCACTTGTTGATGACGTGGACGACACCGTTGCTGATGAGAACGTCCTGACGACAACCTCGGCAGAGTTGACGAATACGCTTCCGTTGACGACGGAGACCGTGAGCTCGCCGCCACCGAGGGTCTCGAGGGTGGTGTTCTCGATGAGGTCACTGTAGAGGACCTGGCCTGCGACGACGTGGTACTCTAGAATGCCAGCAAGAGCAGACTGATTCAGTCCATTGTCACCGCTGACTAGGTTGGCAATGGCGGCGAAGGCCGAGTTATCGGGAGCAAAGACGGTCAGGTCGCGAGCCTCGCCAAGGGCCTCGCCGACATCAGCACGCTGAACAGCGCCGAGAGTAGCTGTCAGGTTGGCGGCGCGCAGGGTGTCGCTAATGTTGAGCGGCAGGGTGAGCACACGGTCAATGATGTGGATGGTGCCACCGGTGAAGTTGAGGTCAGCCTGCTGGACTGTCGAGTTCTCCTTGAGACCCGAGTAGAAGGTGACATCGCTGTCATCACCCTCAGGTGGGATGACCTCGACGCGCTGGCCGCCAGTGACGTTGGCATACGTCTCGTTGGTCAGCATGGTTGGGACGAAGAGAGGGCCGTCGGCGCCAGTGATGTTGGAGGTGTAGTAGGTCCCATTGAGAATGTGGTACTGCAGAACAGCGAGGATCAGGCCTGGGTCGGCAGCAATGGCTGCGGAAGCAGCCGTGTTGTTGAGGAAAGCTTCGAGCGCATCGTTGCTGGGTGCCAAGATGGTGATGTTCTGGGCCTCGCTGAGAGACTGGACAACCTCGTCAGGCAGGGTACCAATGAGTGCTGTGTCTTGTTAGCCCTTTGGTTCAAGCATGGGTGAACATGAGACAGTCATACTGGTCAGGGACGACAGGGTATCGTTCTGGGACGCCAGAGCCTCCGTCAGGCTAGGCGTATCGCTCTGCGCAAGGACGCCGGTGGCGAGCGCCAAGGGGAGAACGTTCTTGTACAGCATGATGGCTTCTACTGGAGCGAATGTGTGACGGGCAAGTTGGATAGCTGGCAGTAAGGTGGGAAATCGGAAACGCGGAACATGCAACGGGGGTGGCCCAACTATAAAAGCTTCGACTGAGCTCGCCAGGCAAGGCGGAGCACCCCAGCTCGATGTGGTCTATAGAGGGAGGCATACGCCTAGCACGAGGGAAGATGCTTGGACCTAAAAGATTCGCCTAGGCGTCTTGCCACGCCATCGAGTTCCCGAGAACAAAGCAGGAATCCTGTCTTGCTAGCTGCGACAGGACAGGACCACCCGCGGTCGTCATGGCATGGCGAGGAGGACGGCGTAGCCAGTTCGGGCACCAGGTCGTAGTCGATTGGGTGCGCCGGCCGCTCATCCTCTGCGCCAAGCCGATCTTTGACCAAAGTTGACAAGGGTTGAAGCCAGTGATCGGGCGGGGAACGACCTCGCCAGCAGCTTGGCCGTAGCTTCGTGATGCAAGACCGCCCAGGTGCAGTGCTTCGCAGTGCCGTGATGTGCTTGAGCTTGCGCTGCAGCTCGAGCTCCACCATCCGAAAACGGCGGGGCCGAACATGGGGCTTTTCCGGCCTGAGCTCCGGGGTCAATGGGGCGATGGAAATGCTTGATCGAATATCAGAACGACATGTCAAGCGGTATGGCGAAGCTTGTCAACCTCAATTGACCTCATGAACCCTTCACGAATGCTCGGTCTGGTACTCCTGTGATTTGGCTAGGCGCCATCGAGAAAAACCTGGTTTCCATTGCTCGTTGCCCCGGTCCCGAGCTGCGCGTTCTCGACCGGCTGATTGCACGGCTGATGGTGCACGTCGAAGTCAATGTCGTCAGTCAGGCCTTAGCGCAACTTGCACAACCGCGCCAGAGCAACTCGCGATCCAGATGGCTCAACCCGCTCGCACTTCCCCGCATGACCGCCTCATCTGGATTGGCCGTAGCCCAGACAGCTTGCGACAGCTCGAGAAACACACAGCTCAGCCAAGCCAACCCTAGCTTGCCTAGCATGCTGCCATTGGCGTAACCAGGTCCGTTCAAGCCGTCCAAGGAAAGTAAGTGTATCCCCGTCGTCTCGCTTCGGCGCCATGCTTGAGCTTAAGGCGAGGCACAAGCTCGTCTTTCTAGTACGGCACCAGCGAGATGCTACGGCCGCCTCTCCCTTGCAATTCGCCATGGAGATCACCTGTAAGCGGTCGTTATTGCCACCCAGCGCGGTTCTGCCAAGATGCCTTTCGAAGTCTTTGGAGCTCCTGAAACATTTCGCGAGGCTTGGCGGGGTAAGAATAGGAAGAAGAAATAGCAATGTCGAGACCGTCGTACGCGTCATCGAACCCAGGATTGCGTTCGTCGCAGAGGTTTATCGCGTCTACTGGTCGAAGCTTCGCCCCATCCACTAAGGTGCCGCGCCGAGCCGCTTGTGAAAGTCGGGGGATTTTGTTAGTCGCGACATTTGTTTGGTCCGATGACCAACATCGACCCGGGGCACATTGTACATGGGGATTGGTCCTCATCCGTGCTCTTGTCTTCGTTTGCGTCGCACGAGGACCGAGTAGACCGACCGTGCAAGCCATCCCAGCCTTCCAATTTCTTAGTTCTCGCCGCGGGGCGATTAGCAAGCCTGGATGGAGCAAGCGGCCACAACATGCAAAGGTTAAGCCAGCTCGAGTTCGAATGCTCTGCCACCCAGCCCATCAAACTCAATGCCTACCCCAACGTCCAGAAAAATAAAGGGTATCAGAATTAGCTGTCAAGAACTGAAGTCCACCCTCGAATCCCCTCCGCCCCCACGGATAAAGCCTGTGGACTGCCAAAGAACAACTCGCTTTCCCCCCGCTACCTGTCCAGCCACATCCTAGTGCATGCGACGTGACGACTCGAGCAAGTAGCCCCGATCCTTCCCTTCCCCTCTCCTCTCGCTCTCCCTGTGCTCGCACAGAGCCTCCCTATTTTCACAGAGCGCCCCCGAAGACATCGTCTCCGGTCACTTTCCTCCGTTTCGTGTCCCTGTCAAGTCCTCCGAGGGGCATGCCAAGTGCGCCCCCATCCAGCCCAGGCTTGCTTCCCTTGCGCACCTCCTTCTCCTTTGCCGTCGCCGTGGCGGCTGCTTCCCGCCTCGCCTTCTGCAGGGCGACGAGATCTGCGCGATCAGGGTCCCTGCACTTCTTGAGTTTCTTGACCAACGGTCGTATCAATTTCATGCTCTCGGGCTTGATACTGTTAGCGAACTGCGGACCATCACACGTCATGTGGCGCGAGGGGGCCGCTCACCGTTCCCCAGTAGTCCTGCATTCTTTCGGGTAGCTCTGTGGACAGCAGATCCTTGCAGGCACGGACCGTTGCCGTGAGCTTGACCTTAACCTCCAAGGCATCGCCAGACGCTTTTGCAAATGTATTATCGAGGATCGTATCGCACAGCCCTTCGTCTGCGAGCGAGAGAGCTGCCAGCATGATTTGACTCGGTGTGTAGTGGAAGTAGGCGTCGGTGACAAGAGAGCTAAACTTGAGAATCTCGCGTGCTCTCTGATGGGCAGCATCGATTCGGGAGGTCTACTGGCGGTCAGCAAGACATGGCTACTTCGGGTCTCCCCCCTTCCTTACCTTGATGTCGCTGTGCCGCCTCAATTCAAGAATTGTGCCCTCGAGCCCGCGGAAAGGATGTCGCACGTCAAAAGCGAACCGAATGCCCTGACACAGGAGGAACTCGCCGGCGAGAATCTCCTCCTCTGTCGTGTTAGGAAACTTGTCTGCCAGCCTGGTCCCGTCAGCAACCTCGAAGCGGGAGCGTTGCCGGGTGTCTTCGAGGTACACGACAACACTCACTTCGACAGCTTTGCAAAGTACCCCTCGGCCTTGCCCCCAAAGAACAAACACGTCTTCAACAAATCCGTCGGCGGATACGTCATGACGGAATTCGTTATGTAGAATCTCCTCAGGAAAACGGCAGCAGTGGCGCGTATCTCGGTCGGCAGGTCGCAAAAGATGGCCGCGCGGATCAATTCGACCGTAAAAAACTTGAGCAGTACAGTTTCTTCGGCGGCAGTCAGGAACTCAGGCAGCAGATCTTCGGGCTTCGTTTCGCGTAGGCGTGTGCTGATCTGTTGCGCGGCGAGCGCGTTTGTCTTCTCGCGAAGGTCGGCCAGGTTGGGTGACGGATAAGACCAGAGGCGAAACTGGCTGGACAGCCGGTAGCGCGCATCTTCTGTCGCCATTCTTGCTGAAAGACGTACTGTGTATGTGAACTTAAAACAGTGAGAATGACAGAAAAGCAGATCTGAAGAGTGTGTTCTGTATTCGTTGCCAACTAGAGGTTGGATATTGAAGACGATGTTGGAGCTCCCACCCTGCCAACCCTTGACTCGGCTTTCGGATAAGCTGACGATAAGCTGTGGGGTCCAATCACGTGCAGCAGATGACTGTCGAAGCTTCACTTGCACCTTCGCGTCTTCCGCCGTGACGTTGCTCCATCGAACTGGACCATTTGTTTGATTGTAACTCCATTGTTGACGCAATGTACGCGGGCTCTTCGGAGAGAAAGTTGTGGGCGCATCCGTTGACAGCTTGTAAACCAACGATCAGTGCCGCAGAGTTTGATGCACGCACCAAGGCAGTGATAGTCAACAATTGTACGTACATTAGTAACAGTCATTGTTCGAGGCCCAAATATTTGAAAACTACATGCCAGCTGGAAAACTGACGCCCATGCGACACCAAACGCCATGCTCCCGATCAAGGTCAATCCCAGCCCATTCTATCATACCAAATCATAAATAATAAACATTGCGTATCCAAGAAGATGTCCTCTAGTATCCCACCTCAGAGGCGCGCTTGGGAGGGATGGGAGGTGCCGGCTTCTTGCTGCGGCAGGGCGGGGGCGGAGGAGGTGCCTTCTTGATGCCCAGGTTGCTTGTGCTTCGTGTAAGGCTCCCCATGCTGGTGGCAGGGCTGGCACTGCGAGCGCCCCAGTCAGGACTGCCGCTGCCGCTAGCCGTGCTCTCGTCGTAGTCGTCAGCAAACACATCCTCACGCGCATAGGGCGAGTTGGTGTTGGTGCGAGTAGTCGGGCGCGCGCTGCCACGCAGGGCACTGATGCTGGGCATGCTAGGGATCGCGGATGCGCGGCGCTCACTTGCCGGGCCCTGGAAGGTCTGCGAGCGGGCGAATGAGGGGCGCGCGGGAGGCTCTGGTGTTGATGCGAAACGCTGCTCGGAGCGGATAGACCGGAATGGCATGCGGACGGGCTGCGCCTCTGGCTCGGGCTCTTGCTCCTCGTAAATCTGGTTGCGAGGGGCATAGTCATTGAAGGAGCGCGCCGTATTGGCACGGCTGCGACCTGTCGGGCGGCGCTCAATTGAGCTGATGCGGTCCAGCCGGTTAGGTGACGTCTGGCTAACATTGGCAGCCCATGCCTGTCTGACCCGACGCAGCTCCTCAGCACAACGTTCGTGGTACTCGAGCTCGGCGTCGAGGAAGTTGGAGAGGTCGCGAATGTTGTCAGCCTCAGCTTCCTTGATGTCCTGCATACGGCGCATAACATCCTCGCCGCTCTCCTCAAATTTGGCACGGTTGGAGCGCATCTCCTCCTCGATGCGGTAATCGTCGCGCTTGGCCTTGTTCATCTTGCTGATACTGGCATCGTAGGCCAAACGGCGGGACTCGTGCTTCTTGCGGGCGCCCTGGAGAGAAAGTATGTCAGCATTGGTACGCCCCCATCAGCTCGAGACAGGTGTGAACAAACCTGGTACTCTTTCATCATGGCGAGGGATCGCTCAATAGCCTCGAGCCAGTTCTGGTTGACTTCCGCAGCATAGGCTTCCTGGGTCTCAGCAATGCGCTCATTGGCGCGACCAACAGCTGTTCAAATATCAGCAGTGGTCCACAGACCAGACGAGAAGTCAACATACCAATCAATCCGTTGCCGAACTCCGAGTCTGGCTCAAAGTCCTCGCCGTGAGTAGCCATCATGCGTCCGACGAAACCAATGGGCACAGCCTTCTCCTTGTCCTCGGGAGCCTCGCCGCGGCGAGAAATCCACTTGACGTATCCATTGGTGGACTTTTGGAGCTTCTCCATGCCTGCGAGATTGGTCAGTATGCATTGATTGCGGCAGCTGGGAGACGAAGCAGGCTGCTTACCCTCATGGCGCAAATTCATCTCGGTCTCGAGATTCTTGAACTCATCCGAATGAGCGGTCTTCTCGCCGCCGACCTTTTCTCCAGCCCATTGGAAGGCACGGTCGATTTTCCTGCTGAGACCCATGATGAATGAGTTGGGGCGGTGCGCTCGTGTTGCAGCGTTAGATGTTAATGTCAATCGAGGCGTCAGTCGGGAATCTGCCGCGTATGTCTTGTGTGTTGGCGATGGACAGTCCAGCTGGCAAAGAAAAATGGTATTCAGGAGGATCCAAAAGCCAAGAGGAAGGGCGAGCTCTCAGTACTAAAAGAGTGAACAAAGTGGCAAGTTGGCGTCCGGCAAGGTTTGGAGGGGTTGGAGTCGATAGACAGGGGTGTCACTCCTGAGCGATTCAACGAACAGGGCAGCGGGTGGCAGGCCAAGACAGGGGACGAGCGAGGGGAATGGTGGAGCGATACCCCGGTTGAAGAGCGCGCGAGGGATAGATGGTGGGTGGATGGGAGGGGATAGGATGTGAAGGGTCGAACCGGGGGTTGGGTGGAAGGCACTTTATCAGTTAATATCTGGCTAGTTAAGCATCCGAGTCGGCGTCTGAGGAGTCACTCGCAGTACAGAGGAAGAGCTACCCGACCTGTCGGGGCCGTCTCCATTCGTGACTTTCTCGGGTTCCAGTCCGTCCAGACCTCCCCCCATCCATAATGGCCAGGCGAGAGAGCGTTTTTGGTCAGTCCTCACGCTTGGCGTGGCCAGCCCATAAGCCAAGCCCGGTCCAGGAGGTTTGTGGTTTGGGGCCCTGACGTGGGTTCCGTACCTGAAGGGGGTGGGTGCGAAGGGTCGGAAGGGAGGGGCCAGACGCACGAGGTGGCTGTTTGGGTCCCGCCATGTTAGTGCTTGCCCGGGCTCGCATGGCGGCGGGAAGGTCTAGAGACCTGTAACAACAGGCCTTGGCTGGGCCCAGGGATGTCTTGGGCGTGGGCAGAACGAGCAGCTCGGGTGAGTGGGTGTGCTGTACCATGTACTGTAGTGCTCAGTGTTCCCCACAAAATGGAAGGTGCCTCCGATGGGTGGCCGGCGCCCTGCCATTGCCCCTGCCAGTCACTGTGTTCACTGTGCTTACTGAGGAGAGGATAAGAGATGGGCTCCACTGGCGGTCTTATCGGGCTGCATTAGGGGGCAGCCACGACTTTACAGAGGGCAAGCCCACTGGCTGGCATCATATAGTTGCCCCTCGTCCTCAGCAGCCCCTCAACGCCTCACGCACTCGCCCCTCATCACGTCTTTCCGGCTGCACGGTAGAGTGAGCCCGCGGGCCTTCCTCCTGCAAGCCTTTCTGCTTTCCATTCAACCTGCCTTTTGGGGAAGTTGGATCGAACGCTGGCGGAAGCAATAGGCAGCCTTCTTTTCACTGCTTTCAAGAGTAGATACTATCAAGTAAGGTACCTTGCCTGGTAAGTAGGGTATCTCGGTGCCTAGGCAGGCATGTACCGGCCGGCAGCAGCGAGCGTCAACGGGCATATGGTTAGCTCGTCACTCAAGCAAAATCGTTGGGGCCGTCGCACCCGCTTTGGTCCTCCAGTGTGTGCGCTGCGAGAAAAGGAGGAACGAGAGGTCGAAAGACTATCACGCCGAAACAGCAGCGCTGACTCGGGTGGTAAGAGCTTTTTCCACCTTTACCCGTGTCTGTCATACATTCGTGTTTTTCATTCGATGCCCGCGAAGACCCAAAAACGACGCAACAAGCGCCAGCCCTTTCTTTCTCTCACGTTTCTCGTTCCACCTAACTTGGTTAGCCATCGTCCTTGTTCACCTCTTGCCCTATCGATCCTCGGGTTCCAGTGTGGGTTTACCCAGCCTCGTATCCAATTCTTTTTCTGGCAGACGGTTGGGCATGTCTCGAGCCGCCCAGTGTCAGCGCCAAATACCAACGTTTGACGGCATTCTATGGGCTCTCCCACAATGAGGTCCTGTCATTTGCCATCCGTCCCCTGCCCCCCCCCCCCCCTTTCCCCCCTTCCTGGGCATGCAGAGTCGATCTTTACGCACGGAGGGTAGCCCAGTTTTCCGCGGCCACACCACGCTTCACGCCTGACACACGGCCCACGTTGTTTGGGGGGCGTGGTCGTTGCGCCGTAGGTGGGCGGGTTAGCCTAAGGAGTTCGAGACCGCTCCTGGACCGCCGGCGGAACTGCCGTCTGCGAGCAAAATGTCAACTGGTCTATTATGGTGTGTTTTTGGGTGCATTTCTAGCCGCAGAGCTTGGTCACGACTTGCGATCGCGGGGTCCTCCGATTCTACGACTTGGGGATGGTGCAGAGTGCGGGGAGCCGGAGGATGATACCAGATTTGATCACTGTACCCAGCCTCTCTGGTGACCCGATGCAAGCCATCGCGGAGGTCACCCCGACGTTTTCTCCATCCTAGGATGGTACGACGTGTGCGTTGAGGATGATTTGACACTGATGGACGGACACCTGCCACCAGGCTGATCGCCTGCCAAACCAGGTCGGCAAACGAGCAGCGGAAGGGCAGGCAAGAGGGTCCTTTGTTCAGACGGTGTTGCACATTGCCGATCTGGCCGTCGATCGGCAGAGGTACAAGACATTGTCGCACTGGCCACGGCGACTCCCGGTGCTGGTTACCAGCGCCTGGTGTCAGGTCTGTCTTGCAAAGGCCCTGTTGATCAAGTGTTTTGTCAGGTCTCTATCGTGTGATGCAAGCAGGGAAGCGATCTAAATGCTGGGTCTAGTCAATAGAAAATTTGCCACGGCACCCGAGTCTGATGATCCGAATCATCCGCAAGGGAGTTCATGCGTTGGCCCTGCTTGCATGTCGAAAATATCAAAACGCAAATTCAAAGGGGGGTGTGTTTTCTGGCACGACGGCCCGGAGTTCGGCAGAAGGCCAGAACGGGGTGGTGGTGTGTCGTGCTACTCAGGCTGGTTGGTAGGTGGTGGCCCATTGGCCGCCCAGGTTGTACACCCCAGCCGCTGCTCTCACACGTAGAAAAACACCAGCCATTTCTTCGAGAAGCGAGTGTGGCTAATGACCCGCGTTTCGGGCCTGGCGTTTGTGGCTGGTGATACCTTGGCATCTCAACATTGTCGTCATCGCCAGGTTCATCTTCTCAACCCTTGCTGGCTCTCACGGGCATGCACGGTACGTGAAGAGGCTTTCCTTCCAGTTCGTGACAATGGAGCATGTGCCCAGATCGACATGGCATTCGGAACATCACTCGCGAATATTCGGTATCTGAAGTCAATCGATCATACGGCCTCGTATCCTACGACCCATACATTGAGGCTGAGCATCTCGCCCTGAAACTCAACTCAACTCAGCCCAACACAACCGAGACGACCACAGGACACGCCCGCGGCTGTGTGTAACCAGTCCCAGCGCCGCATGGGAATGAGCTGTTGCTGACGCGTTCCATATTGAAGAACTACGCCATCGACCATGTTTCCATCATCATTCGTTGATCGTTGGTCGCGAAGCATCAAGACGCGTCGCGATGAGCAGCTCCATGATTTTCCCAACTACCACCTCTCGAACCCGGAGGAGCTCGTGACAACAAGCACCCCCAAGTCCATCACTGTCGGCACTGGCGTGTCTATCTACAAGCAGACACTGCTGCCAGCAATTCTTACAGCTCATCATGAAGTCATCCTTGTGACCTGTTTCTGGGCCGAATCCGACACCCTGCGAGCGCTTCACGAGACGCTTCACGCGCTGGCCAAACGTCGACGCGAGGCCATCGCTGTCAATCCTGACCGCTCCGCCTTGCCACGCCTTCGCATCCGCATCGGCTTCTCCTCGCGCTCGTTCTTCCAAAAGATATTCCACCCATGGTCTCGCGATGGTCACGCCTACCCTTCCTCTGCCTGGGCCAAGCTGGGTCTGCCGCCCGACGATGTATTGAAGGCAGCCCGCATCAATCTTTCCGTCAAGAGCCTCTTCTTCCTACCGTTCAGTGTCATGCACCCCAAGTTTGTCATTGTCGACCGTGAGCGCGCTTTCATGCCGAGTTGCAACATTAGCTGGGAGGTGTGGTTTGAGGGATGCGTCGAATTCACCGGCCCAGCTGTTGCGCAGCTGCTGCGGTTCTATGCAAGTGTGTGGGACGGCAATGTACGGCAGGCCGCCGACTGGGACGACAGCTGGGCCCGTGATGTCCAGTCGACACCACAAATCGAGCCAACCCGGAACGCGCCCGACTCAGCGAGCCAGAAGCGGCTACTTGACCCAACGCCAACGCCCACTATGATCCTCCCATCGTCTCATCATGTCAACCCTAGCTTCCGTTGCATCCCCTTCCTCGGCCGCCAGACCTCCCCGGCAACTCCTTTGAATGCTGCTCTTCTCGACCTCTTCGCTTCGGCTCATACTCAGATTGATATTATCACGCCAAACCTCACCTGCCGCGCCGTTGTCGACGCGCTCCTCGCATCACTTGCCCGTGGCGTCAATGTCCGCATTCGCACGAAGTCGTAACATGATTCTGATCGACTGAGTGGACTATACGGTCCCTCGTCAACCGCTACGAAGCCCTGACGGCAACCTGGACTTCGCGCGCCTTTGATATGGAGGCCCAATGTCAGCGACCTGGTCGTCTTGAAATATACTACTACCGCCCAGCCACCAAAAGCCCAGACGAGCCGGTGGTTTCGCATCTCAAAATGACACTGGTGGATAGAGAGTATCTGATGCTCGGCTCCGGCAACCTCGATCGTGCGAGCTGGTACACAAGCCAGGAGTTGGGCATCCTGCTCCACGTACCGGGATTCCAACATGACATATGGTCAGGTGCGCTCAACACGCGGATGGACGTGCGATACAGATCGGAGTGAGGATGTCACATGTTTGTATATCTAGCCTGTACTATTCATCTTGATACCCAATCACAGCATGCCCATCGAACTTCGTTCCCGTCGCCCTAGTCTTGGGGTTTCATGTATCTTCGGCGCGTGACACCCACAGTATGCCCCTCGTCAACAAACCCATGAACCATTCATCGCTGTACGCCTCGTCAAAATGCCCCAGCGCCGTGTAGAACGACCTGCCACCGTCAAACTCTCTCACCCACGCGAGCGGATGATCGTCCCCCATCTTGCCCCCGTGGAAACTGGTCGTGTCCCCCCTCAGCAGAACCCGCAGCCCCTGTCGATCACGCGGGTGCGTGACAAAGTTGTACCACTCATCCATCCAATGCTCCTTGCCCGTCGCGTTCCCGAGAATGTAATGCCGCCCCTCGGCCACGACAGTCCCAGGCTCCGGGGGAGGGTGCATGTCAAAGTGCGCGCCGACCAGCTCGCCGTACCACAGACTGCTCTTCATGCCGCTGGCGGCGCCATGGACGGCGACGAACCCGCCGCCGCGGCGTACAAACGCCTGCAGCGCCTCTAGCTGCTCTGAAGTCAGGAACTCGCCCGAGCAGTGCAGCAGGACGACGGCCGTGAAGGCGCGCAGAGACCCGGCGGCGAAGCTGGCCTCTGCGTCCTCGGAGTGCGCGGCCGTGAAGAGGCCAGAGGTTGTTGCCAGAGCGAGGAGAGCCACGACAGCCGGCTCGATGGAGGTGTGTCGATAGGCGGCGGTTTTGGAGAAGACGAGGATGTGAGGCTTTAGCATCGTATGTGTGCGCGGCGCTTAACTTGATCAGAATGCGGCTTCGTCTTTGTGGTTGTTGCCTCGATCTTAGGAGTCTGTGGTGCTTTGAGAGGGGTGGGCCCGATACGAAGGATGAGGTAATGTCACACATGCGAGGCAAGTCGGGCCTCGTGAAATGACATTCATGTTATCGAGGCTGCATTGCTGTTGGCATAGTGCCATCTTGCCATCGCCAAGCAAATATGCCCTCTTCGGGCCCGGTCGTCAGATTATCATCTTCGTCAGCGCAGATCTCCCTTTGTCGTACCCCATTCAGCGCAGCATCGCGTTCCGGATCGCGGGGTAAGTGCCGGAGAAGATCCGGAATGACGGAATAACGCAAAAGGTGAACTCATGTCGATGATAGCAAGCGTACCTCGCCACTCGTGCAGCGCAGCGATGCTGCTGCACCGCTGCTGCACCTTGTAGTACATCAAGTATTGGCAAGATACGTCGTACGTAGCTGATGCCATTTTTGGCACTCTGGATTTTCAGCACTATTATGACAAAAGAGCAAAACACCGCCCAATGCACCAACCTAACGACTCGGACCGCCGGACTCAGAGGTCCCATTCTATCGCGCCACACGATCGCTGTTGCTTCCTACTGTGCTGCCGATTGTGCTGGGGCTCGACATGCCCCTCTCCTCATCACCCCGCCTCGCCTTTTTCCTGGCATCTTCCTCATCATCGTCACTCATGAGACCCTCGAGCTCGAACTCCTCGGCATCCCGCAGCTGGCGCGACTCGGCCCCGTGCGTATTGCCGTTCGGGAGGACAACCTTGCCCTCGGCGGACGACGTGCGCTCGTAGAGGCTAATGAGCATGTTGACGAAAAGGAACAAGAGGAAGGCGAAGGAGAAGAGAATCAGAATGTAGGCGACGTGATCCATGGACGACTGGTCGACGAGAAGCATCTGTTCCTCGGTGGCGCCCATGAATAGGAATCCAGACGCAAAGAGCAGCTGGCAGTACATTAGTTTGGTTGTTCAGATCGCCAGCAGAGTGTTACTTACGAATGCGGGAATCAGCTGCCAGCTGTTGTACGTCCGCCCGTCCTCTGAAAGACCGTGTTCGTCCTTCACCACAAATGCAATCTCAATGATGCGGGTGATGCCAACGGCCATCAACGTCTTGCCGAACATCGAGTGGGTGGCTTCGGAGACGTGGAGCTCCTGGGGATGCGCGGACATGGCCCAGCCCGTGATGAAGATGACGAAACCGGGAATGAAGTTTCGCTTGGGGTTGCCATCGCGATCCCTGCTCAACCAGACACCCGCCAGACCGGCGCACCACCAGACAATGCCCATGGTGGTGTGCTGCCAGTCGTTCTTGACCCAGGCAGTGCCCCAGTGGTGCTCGGTAAAGGTATTGACGCAGCCCCAGGCGGCAATGACCACGCTGTCAAAGAACTCCTGCGACCGCCCTGTCCTGCGCAGCCACATCTGACCGACGAGCAGGAGCAGCGTCAAGAGGATGCCGTAGGCGATGAAGGCCGAGCCCATGATGAAATGCGCAGCGCACTGTCCGAGATGGTCGCCCTGGCAAAAACCAAGCGCCGTAATGCCACCGAACAAGATCTGCACCCAGGAGATTACAGGCATCGCCTTGCCAAGGACGCCGTGGAAGGGGCGAGCGAAGCGACGGATGCGGCCGTGGATTCCCTTTTCGAGATGTAGTCGAAGGTAGACACCGAGGGTCACCTGGGCGGCGAGGATGAACATGAGGAGATTCGCGAACTTGGCGTGAACATTGTTGTGAATGAATTCGCGTCCGCCGTGGGCGTGACCAATGAAGTAACCGACAACAGCGATTACGGTGCCCAGAACCTGGGTCGGGACGTGCCATCGATTTTTGGTGATCTGCAAGGAACATGATCAGCGTGCGAACTTCATGATGGGATAGTTGGAGGGAAAGTACATACTCCCAGCACCATTCCGATGGGGAAGATGATGCCAAAGGCGAGCATCATGGTGAAGATGTGAACCCACAATGTCGAGTCCTGTCCCGTCAGTCAACTTGCCGTCTCCGTATATCCAATACGCTCTGAGTCCCTACAATTGGCTCTGGCGAGACGGACTCGCCCTCGGCGATGTGGCTGACGCCATGATCGTGTCCCAGCGCCATGGGAAGAAATGCAGTGATTGAAGCAAGCTGTAGAATGCGGGACGGTATCATCGAAGTCAAGGCCATGCTGCTCAAAGGCCTTGATGGCCTGATGGTGAACAAAGTCATGGCGGCGTTTCGGGAAAGGGGGGGCCCGGGCCCTTGGACAGGATCGTGTAGCAGGTGCCGTAGCGCGGACTCGATCGATGGAACGGCTTTTCGGGAGGAGCCGAAGTGGTGGTTGGACGTAGCCGAGGCGCGGCTGGCCGTTTGCGATGGTGTTGATGGATTGATTCTAGGTTGTCGATTGCTTCGCGGATCAGTTGCTTTTTGCAGGCGTCGCGAGTAGAGCAGGGCAAGGGAGAGACAGACTTGTTCCTCGGAGGCTTCGGGCGCGCCTGGCTGGCGCTTCTTTCCGTTCGCCTATCTCGTTCGTGTCATCAGCTGGCGCGGCTGTGGTACGTACCCCATCTGCTGCAGCATGTCAATTAGGGGGTCCATGGTTGGTCCAGGCTTGTCGTGTTTGGCGGGGCCTCCAAGATCCGGCGCCCACTTTCCGTCATTTCCTTCAGTTAAACTTGTCATGCACCACGCCCCTTTTCCCTTGACGATTCGGCGAGGCATACGCATGGAACAACTCGTTTTCAATTTGCGGCCAATTGTCTTCATGGTGCAACTCAGTTTGGGCAACTCTCTGCATCGAGTGGCCACGCAATGATGCCGATCATAGGAGCCATCCGTTGCCATGACACGAGCCCTTTCGCTTTTGCCAGAACTGTTCTTCCTCTTCTCAACACAGTCGGTCGCCTCATCTGCCCGCGCGAAATCCTGTGGAAAAGTTTAAATAAATTTCCGGGACGTAGCGTCATGAACCGCAAGGTCTTTACTTGGTTCGATTGCGAAGCATAGCCTCTGGGAACGCTTGCCGTCCTTGATAGAGGCTGATGAAAGGCTCACCCATTCCCGACTGGCGCGTACGTGGTCAGTCGAAAATTAGGTGTGAATCGACCGTCGCTGTTACACATTATCATGTGATCAATCCCGTGGAAGCATACCGGATAAGCGTTTATGACAAGAATCAGTTCAAGCATTAATCATCCTCATTGCCATGCCTCAAAGCCATGAAATTACTCCAAGGCATTCTCGTGGACATGATACTCGCTTTGAAGCGGGCTGTGACTATCATGACCATCATAGACAGCGCAATGAGTTGACTAGCGACACAGATACAAGTCTTTACATTGGTTTGAACAACTTCAATTCAACGAGGGCTCATGTGAGACCCCTTAGTGTCGAATTAAGACGATGCAGTTATACGCAGGCGTGTTAAGAACAAAATGACAAATTGGCGAGCCTTGGTCAGCCAACGAGTTGGCCTTGATTTGACCAGAGAACACAAGGCACTAGCCATTCACCCAGCGTTATATTGACATGAGCAGTGTAGACTGCTGTAGCCAATTGAGCTTTTCCTGCAGTGACTTGCCATTTCGATTTGTTTATCCGGATCGTAGCCTTGAGTCAAAACTGGACACAGGTTCTTCGTTCCTAAAGCTTGAAGTATGAGACCCTGCAAGCATCGACATAAAGCCTAAGACCTTTGATTTGGCGAAATATTCGCCATCTGCAAGGTGTAATGTCACGCGGTGCACGAAGGCTTGAGCTTTTCAAATGGAGGGTTGGCAACACTATCGCAAGATACTACGTGTCATTCTACTCATCTCCCAATAGTCCACTTCGACCTCTACCCAGAGATCTCATCTTCACGTACTCCAAAATGAGGTACAAAACACGCTGTGTTCTTGCGCTGGCAATGATAAGCAAATGGCTGTTTAGTTGCGTCTAGAACTCAACCCCGCCCACCTGTATCACCTGTATCTGCACAACCAGCCACACCCACTCTGACTGCATAAGCGACGCCTCTCAGCCTGCTCTAACCTGATATGTCGCTTTTCTCGCTTCACACTGGCGGATTGAGGAACATGGAGTATCCGTCTCCGAACTTTCTACACCTAGAATCGTTTTGTTCCTCCGCATACCTCATTCTCACGAAGGATGGTGCCACTCATGCGAGTCTTCGACATGTCTCATCCCGTCGACCCGTGTCAAGATGCGCCAAGTCCAGAATGCTAACATATATATCCACGAGGTGCTTGAAGAGGGCCCTCGCCCGTGCAATGCCTTGGGCCTGCCACCTTTTTTCGCGAGCTGAGAATGCGCGTCCAAGCTTTCCGCCGCACTTTTGTGCTGGTGTTCAGCATTGTTTTTCCTTTGGTCGTCCTCCTGCAAGTAACTTGGATGTACCGGGAATCATTGCCTACGATATCACTTCGAAGACAAAGCCTTGTCGAGACAAAATTGCACTGTTATGGCGATGACGACTGCTTCCCCGATATCCGATCAATGAACGCATCGGACCTGAACACCAACATCAAGATATGTCAGAGCCAGCCCGAGAAGCGCTATGGGGCTCAGCTCCGGTTGGCGACGGTGACGGCGCAATTTGGGCAGCCGGAGGACCACTACAAGCGCGCCTTGCGCACCCATCTGCAACACAGTCTGGTGCATCAGTCTGAAGTCCACGTCCTCTGTGCCGAGATTGTGGACGACTTGTGGAACAAGCCGGCTTTTATACTCGAGCTTCTTCTATCGGAAATGGAGAAGCCTGAAGACGAGCGCCTTGAATGGCTGTTCTGGGTAGACAGGGACACCATCATCCTCGACAACTGCCGATCGGCTTCAAGCTTCCTTCCTCCGGCAGCAAAATGGCCTCCGAGTGAAGACGCTCAACAGGCTGATGGAGTTGAGCGGCCCGAAATCAACCTTGTTGCGACGAAGGACTGGAATGGTCTGAATAACGGCATCTTCCTCTTGCGCGTCAGTCGCTGGAGCGTTGACCTGTTTGCGGCCATTTTGGCGCTGAGATATTTCAGACCCGGCGTGGACCTTCCTTTCACAGAACAAAGCGCGATGGCCATGCTGATGCAGGAATTCCAGTTCGCGAAACAGGTTGCGTGGGTGCCGCAATGGTGGTTCAATGCATACCCGAGGCCGGAGGAGGACTTTGACGAGGCGAACCTTGAGTTGCTGGAGGAACACCACGCCAGGAGGGGAGACTTCTTGGTGCACTTTGCTGGGTTGGGCAACCGAGACGAGGCGATGCCGGTTTGGCTGGGCGTTGCCGAAGACGAGTCAAGGCAATGGAGCGTTGGTACACCGCTGAGGGATGTTGACAGTGGTATCGGGCAGTATTGGAGGGGTAGAGTGAATGCTGCTCGAAATTGATTAGTATGAATTCCAAGATATCTTCCTGTTACGACTATCCTCAGAAAAGATCCTTGTGCTCTCGTAAGCTTTCTTTAAACATATATAGGCTTCTGGTCTGTGCCTGACCACCATTTGAGTCGATAGGTCTGCGTTGAGTTTCTTCGTATTAGTGCGTAGTTAAAGGTAGAGTGAAGGGGTCTGATATAAGGTCCGCAGGTAGTTAGAATATAGGTATAGGGTCGGAATATATCTGAATTCTAGCCCTCCGCAGCCTATATATATACGTTGTCTCGTAGCCCTTAGCACCTAGCTGGCCCCCTGCTTGGCGGCTCCTGGCGGCTCCGCAGGGTTGCCTGACACTTCGCTACGTATTGGAATCAAGGTGTCAGAATGCCGCCTACGACAAGGGCAGCAGCTGTCTTGTCCAAGCCATCGCCCACAAACACCTCCGTGTGCCTCTCCAAACTATCGTAAGCCCATTTTGAGTGGAAGCAGGACATAAGCGACGTACCAAGAGATAACGACTTGTTGCAGCCACAGGATTGCGGAATACTAAACACTCAAATCCGACCTCCCCAGCACCCCAGCACACACAATCAAGTCACTATGAATACCAGAAGCACTATACTCCAGTACATACGACCATACCTACTGGGAACCTCGGGATCCCGTCCGCTCTCCCCTAGATAAACCAGTAAGGGCCGGACTAGTAGTCGGGTGGGTGACCACCGGCGAATACCTGGTGTTGTATGTTTTGCAGTTTTGCATTGCTTGTGTGCAAACTTGCCTGGCGTTGAACGCTAGTCCAATGTGCGCGATCAGTCTTTGGTCAAGCCTGCGTGCTTCGCGCTTGATTCGGCGCCAGTGCATATCTTGCAATCATCGACATCTCAATCACCTCTTCAGGCCAGCGTACGGCTTGGCTCCCCAAAAGATTGGACTTCCTGTTCGGTTTTAGGGAGGCGGCACGTGTGGTCATCTGTTCCTCTGGATCTTTCATGTCGGAGGTGATTGCTGCGGTTGTCAATCGCAGTCGCATGATATTTTTTAAGAACGAGAGGTGCTCATTGCCCGGAAGTGGGATTACATTAAGTTTTACACTACGTCGTCGCTCATCTCGTCATTGTCGACCCTCCTCATCATAGACTACGGCATGCTTCTCTCTGCAAAAGCCGATGTTCGGGTATGTAAGGCTCGCTATGCAGGCCGCGCCTTGATTGGAGTCAAGGTCCCTACATAATCCTTGTTCCTCAAATCTAGCAAGTGCCCTCCTCGCCCAAGCCAATCTCGGTCGCAGCCAGGAGGAACTCCATGAATCCAGCGCCGGTTTCAAGCGCGTTCTGGTGGTAAATCTCGCTCGTGGGGTAGAAAGCGCAGCTGGCCGCCGTGTTGCCGAAGCCGAACTCGAGGCAGTAACCGTGAAGCTTGTTGAGGCTGGGGTCGATCTGGTGGCGGGCCCAGGCATAGTCATCCGAAGCACCGGAGGTAGGGTACAGGTAGGCGGCGGACATGGCCTCGTAGTGGCGACCAGTGGCGGCGTCCATGGCGTTGACGGAGCGCATGGCGGCGAACGACTTGTCGGACCAGTCCTTCTGTGTGATGTACTCACCGTAAACGGCGCCGCTCTGAGGGTCGTCGGGCATCAGGCCGCGGACGTTGTCGTAGGTCGAGTTCAGGAAGTTCTGCTCGGGGTGACGGCTCTGAAGCTCATCGATTCCGCTTGCGTACAGCCTACGTTCGGCTGGGTTAGCAAAAACATGTACAATCTCAGAGGAACGATTTAGAGTAGGCACTCACAGAACACCAGCATAGGCGTGGACATCCATGTACCAACGCAAGTTCTCGTGCTCATCCATGACCCACTTGATCGCCTGGGTCTCGGCCTCGGAGAAGGCAGACGCGCCCTGGTAGGTCTGGGCACGTGGGTTCTTCGAGGCGACGTTGGGGCCGACCTCCGGGTGGAACTTGTTCAGGAAGTCAAAGACAACATCAAAGTTACGGTTCAGGTCAACGCCAACGGAAGCAGGGTTGCCAGCCACGGCGGCCGCGGGGTTGCGGTTCTTCCTCCAGCAGGTGTTGGTGCTCTGGTCCCAAGCGACACCATCAGGGTTGCTCTGTAAGTCATTGGTTAGATCCAAATTGGTGTATCTCATCGCATGGAATTGCTCTAGGACGGCATTGACTTACAAGAGGGGTGAAGACGATACCCGCGGCAAGGGCACGACGCACGTCGCAGTTGGTGTAAGTACGACCGCCGTACTGCAGGCCGGTGTTGTGCTTGTTGGCATACAGCAGATCCGAGATGAAGTAGATGATGTTGTCGGAGGAGCCGCGCTCACGGGCGTGTATGGCTCCGTTGAAGTAGACGTGGTAGCTGGAAGAGCAGTTCTTCTGGCCACCGACCTTGGCACCAACAATCTCGGCGCCCTCGTACGTCTTGACGGGTGCGATGAAGGACTCGAGATCGTACTCGTCGACGAGAGCCTGGACGGCAGCTGTGATCTCGCCGACATTGAGGAGGGTCTCGAGGTTGGTGCCGGGAGGCTGAGTGCCGAGACCGCGGGGAACGGTGCCGTTCGCGAACCGGTTGCCAGTGCCAATGGCTAAGCCTGTGTTTCCGGTCTGGCGCTTAACAACGGCCTCGCCGCCATTGGCAAGTTCCTCGGGCAGGATGCAGGCCTCGGTGAGAAGGGCGAGCGAGGCGATGGCGCCGGCGGTGGCAAAGGTCTTCATGGTGGGCAGCGGTTCTGGACAGGAGGACACTGGTGGGACGAGGAACGAATCAACAGATCAACGGGCCAGGACAGGCAGTGCCGAGATCCATTGTAGCGGATCGGTCCTTCTTATACGCGTGCTGGGGAGACACAGACGATCGTATGCCAAGGGTTCATTTCAGTGGCGGCCCTCCCCGTTTGTTGGCATGCAGGCCCAGTGGCATCTACGACAGCCCGTAGCGTCGCACGAAAAGTGATCTCAGAGGGCAGCCTGGCGACAGTGCGACAGGTCGGCGACGGCTACGTAGGGACTGACAAGGTTAATTGGGTCTGCCGAGCCGGGCTTGTTGACTAGAGCTCATCACTGGCGTCACCGTACCGTATGGCGTTTCTGTTTCGGGCAGCTCGATAGCTATGGAGCAGTTCAAGGTCGTATGGGCGGGTGTTTGCGACGTGCAGGCTCCCCCTGCTGGGCAGAATCCAGAATGCGCGCATCGCGGAATTACATTGCAGCTGCTGGACCCAGTCGCGTCCCGTGCCCTGCAATCTGCTCCACGCCCGCGTGTCCTAGCCTTGAGATGCGGGGATCAAGTGCCGTTTCGGGCAGGTCGTTGTGCTTCTCCATCTCTACAGGGGTTCACGAAGAATCAGCTCGATAGCGTGGTGTCGAGGCAGTCGTTGCCTTTGCAGGTTGAATACGACGAGTCAATGGCCAAAAAGAAGAACAGCTCTTCTGTTTTTGCAACAGGAATGCTGGGCAAGGGCGATGAGCAGTTCAAATCGAGTCTTCATCCCATGGCTGATCAGCAGCCCTGGAGCGCCGTCGAAGACTGGACAAGCACAGGCCAAAGTCAATTTGCACAGCATGTCTTTGTCTCGGTGCCTTGCCCGAAGCCCCTTCGGTGGGCTCCCTGAACAACTCATTGCCTCCGCCCAGCCTCCGATAAGGATGTTCTTCAGAGCTTCCATTTCAGCGGCCCGCTACCTACCAGGAACTTCCTAGCCCACATCATGCAACCAAGATAAGGCCCCCGCCACCATCAAGAACTTCGATTGGATGGTGTGTCAGGCACCAGGGGAGAAGGCGACCTCGTCAAAGTCAGGCAGGTAGGCTTGATACACCGGTGCTCCCGAGATGCAAAGCCCACGTTCCCTTGCCGCCCATTGCTAGATCTTTTGGGAAGAGCTATGAACGCCGCCTTAACGAGGATTGAAACCCTGCTAACGATCTGCACTGTGTGTGCCATGTGAATTCGTGCGAGGATCTCAGGACGCCAATTTATGTCTCACTGGTAAAGTTCTGCCAGTTCTACGCGCCATATCTCAGGCATTTGAAAATACCCCATAGGCACATCACGGCGACACCGGTTGAAAACTCTAGCGGAGGTGACTGTATGTGCTCTGTGTTTAGGCGACGGGGACACGGTGTGGCTAAATCTGGTGCGACTAGGCATTGATGCTCGAATTTTGTAGATCATAGCAGCACTCCATCGCAATGAATGGTACATGGCGTTGCCGTCGATTACAGATGAGCCGGCGTTGCCGCGATCTTTGTCTGTCCGGTTCGACATTTCCGCACGCTTTGTGGTTGCACTCCTGAAGGCAATCGAGCGCTCAATCATGCTGACCTCCACCATAACAGTCTCGCACAAGTATCTTAAGATGCCGCAGCACGAATCGATGAACCGCATTCCAATTTCGTCACTGCTTATTTGTTAGTAAGAACACGGAGACGAAGACTGTTTGGGCGCACATCATTATGATCAAAGCGAGCCCCAGGCTTGATGAGTACAATCTCGGGCTCGCTTCCCTCTCTACAAGCGCTCCCGTTTCACGAAGAGCTGTTCAAGCGATATCATCGACCTCCATATCCGTTGTTGTTGCAACAGCCTTCTTCCCCTTCTTCGACTTCTTCGATTTCTTGGACGCCTTGGGCTCGACAGCATCTGAAGTATTCGAATCAGCAAGCGCACAACATATCCTGTCAGAGAACAATCTCACCTTTCATCTCAACCTCAGCTTCTTCCTCCTCATCCTCCGCGTTAACGTATTCCTCGTCCGCCTCTTCGTCCTCGTCCGAGCCCTCAACTGCCTCTTGTTCCTCCCGCCTCTTCGCAGCGTGTGCCAGTGCCTTCTCGACCTTGCGCGCCTTCTTGCGGCTCAGTGCTGCCTGCGGTCCGCTGTTGGGAAGTAGTCCAGGGCGGGCGCCGCGCCTTACATCGCGCTTTGCGACGCGGTTCGCATTGGCGAGAGCAACGCGCGCCTGCTGGGTTTTGGCCTTGCGGGCTTTGGCGTGGGCATGGGGGCGAGAGGTGCCTGCGAGGTTCTTGGCGGAGGGAGCCATGGCGTCGGGTGGTTTATGAGTAAACGTTTTCGAGTGGTCTCATCGACAGAGAAGGGTGATCGCGACGTCGAGGAGCCTAGTTATAGAAGCTGAGGAGGTTCAGAAAGTCGATTTGTCGGCATGGATGGCGGGGGGAGAAGAATTGGATGGGAAACTTTTTAGTGGAGGTGATAAGCAAATTGTAGCCATCTCCGATAAGCCTCACCGAGCTCACCGATCGGCAACTGAGAGCAAGCCCAGGCGAGGTAAGGACCTTCTACAGAACTAAAGCGACATGACGGCCGGTGTTTGGCGTTTTCTGGGGCTCGAGGTCTCAGGACTCAACGAATTCAGGAATTGCAGCAGATGTGGTGAGCCATGACTGCGGGTACCCACTGCACAGGGAGGCATGAAAGTCGGCTCACTTTGCGATCGCTCAAATTGCGTGGCATTTGTTTAAAGGTCCTTAACTGCACGGATTTCGAGGTCACATGTTGAAATCGCTCTCAGTTAACAATCGCCTTGATTGCGTCGGCACGTTCGCATGGATGCGACACTATGATGCGATTGGCGCAGAAGATGCTCATCCCACGAAGGCGGAAGGTGGGTGGCATCAGGTACCCGAGCAACTTATTAAAAGAGTGGCCTGTTAGGCAGTATTGAACTTTGCTTGGTCTGCAGTATGCCACGGGGCTCGAACATTTCCGTAGATGTGTACTTGTGGCTCTTATTGGACAAAATGTCAGCTTTCAATTCCGGGTGTTGAATGTTATTGTCGCAGCCGGAGGCTTTTCTTGCTGGCCATTCGGAGGGACGCTTGACCGGCAGTTATTTAAAGTTTCAACGTTGACCAGAATGGCGGCCAAGACAGCACGTCACTATAACTCTAAGGGGCTTGTACAACCTTTGAAACCAACGATCGTTTTGCGTGAGCCTGCTTCCGCAACGGCAGCTGTCCCTGCCGGGTCATCCGACAGAGTTGCTACTCAGTCCAGACGATAGAACATATAGTGCGCGGCCAGTCCTATCACGGCCGTTCCGTTCCTCTGTAGTCCGATTCTACTTTCTCAGCCAATTTCACTCCTTTATTGTCGTAATGTATTTCACTAGTCTCTCGTTATTGTCCTTCCTGGCTATCGGCGTCGTGGGCCAGGAGTTACCCCAAGGTGTCTTGGGGTTTAACTCTGGAGCCACGAAAGCTGATTCGAAAGCGAAAGTTGAGTCCGACTTTGAGGATGAATTCAAGACAGCTCAAGGACTCCGCGGTTCCCCTGGGCTTTTCAACAGCGTGCGCCTGTACTCCATGATTCAAGCGGGAACCACGAACAGCCCCATCTCGGCCTTTCCAGCGGCGCTTAAAACCAACACTTCGATGCTTCTCGGAATTTGGTGTTCCGGCACGCAGTCGATAGACCAAGAGATCGCTGCCATGAACAGCGCCATTGAACGATATGGCCAGCGTTTTGCCGACCTTGTGGTGGCTATCTCCGTTGGAAGCGAGGACATGTACCGTCTTTCCGAAAGCGGCGTCGCCAACAATGCTGGGTTGGGACAGGGACACCATTGTGCGCTTCATTCGCGAAGTCCGTTCCGCCATCAATGGGACGATCTTGGGAAACAAGCCCATCGGCCATGTGGACTCGTGGAGCGCATGGGCAAACAGAAGCAACACCGACGTCATTGACGAAGTTGATTGGATTGGAACCGACGTGTACACCTATTACGAGGCCGATAGAGGAAACGCATTCAGCAACACGACAGCTGTTTTCGACGACATATACAACCAGACTTTCGCCTTTGCAGGCAACAAAACTGTGTGGGTCACCGAGACTGGGTACCCCGTGTCTGGTCCTAACTCTGGGGAGGCTGTTGCCAGTGTGTCCAATGCAGCACAATACTGGCAGCTTATCGGATGTGACAGGCTGTTCGGAAGAGTGAACACTTGGTGGTATAACATCAGGGATTCCAACCCGGCGATTACGGAGAAGTTTGGGATCACAGAGAACCTCAAAACAACGGCCAGGTTCAATTTGACTTGTACCGCTGACAGTGGTGCCCCCGCCCCTGTCAACGTGGGCTCTGGAGCGGCTTCTTCTCGTGGTGGTGAGGTTCTGCTTGCTGTGAGCATGGCTTTTTTCGGCTTGTCAATCACAATTTGGCAGTAACAGTCGAGCTGCTGGGTCTGATAGTCTTGTTCTCATGCCTGTCTGAATCCGTACCTGTTTTAAGAAAGCGTTCCCGACCCGACCGCTGCATGGCCGTACGCGGTGGTGCCCAAATCAGCTTTCATATACTGGTTTAAAGCGAGCGCCTCTCGACTATTGGTAATTTTGGGCTTATTCCGTGAGGTTAAGAAAGTTGACAGTACATGGGTGGTGGTCAAGTAGTGTCCTTAAAAAATCGCCGACGACCAGCAGGTCTACGTGTCGGCAAAACTGTTCAACTTTTCTTCCCTCTGTATCCTTTGGGGCAAACGTACCGAAGGTAAGATCCTGTTGAGAAGAAGAGCACACGATACATCAAGTCTTCGACCAAAAACGCGAAGCCGGTCGCGCACATGATAGGGGTTGGTGCAGCTGGGAGTCAGCGAAGCGCATGATCATTGGCAGGAACCCGAAAGCACGTCCATTGGTCACGGGATCTAACGCCTGTCACACAGGCTGCTTGGGTAGGAACAAACAACCTCATGGTGGTGCGATCATTCGGTTCTAGAGCTCATGTTTCATTATAGAAGAAACCGAAAGAACAGTACGTATGGGGTTGTTGCGCATCATCTCGCGATCCGAGCTTCTCAAGTCATAAGTACGTCTCGTGAGCGCGATCTACAATTTCGAAGCAGCTCTTGAGACGGCAGATCTCAGAAAGCAGAAAGCCACGTTCAAAAACTTCCTAACCAGCTCGTCCACTGCTCATGACATCTTTGACTTACCGAAGAGATCAATCGAGGCGGCCAGCGCTTACACAGGAGCTGGTGGCTCTGTGGTAAAGACTCTTTAATGTCTTTGAACAAATACACGACTTCACCAAAACAGGCGACATATTGATCGGCGGATCGCAAAATATGATAGCAAACAGCGTTTAGGCTGCCGTGCGTGTTTCTCTCCAGTTATCTATTGGATACCTTTGTTTCTTCGCTTAAGATCATAGAACTGCTAATATCGTGTAGGGCAGTTTCGTATTATCCGCTGGATACTGAAGCGACGTCTCTCGAGCTGAGTCTAAACAGAGACCATGATTAACATTCGCTGTTGGTGATCGCTGTCGAGGCGAACTAAACTCCTGGCGTCGTCGCAGTACTGGGCGAACAGATTTACTCACTGAACCAATGGTATAGAGCGTCCCGCTGCCGAACAGCTCTGGACCTCCGCTGGCATGGCGGCGGAACCTTGCTAGGGCTTTTCATCAAGAACGACGATTTCGAGATATTCCATCTGTTAGTCCGTCACTTCGCACCTGTAAATGATTTGTATCAAAATAAAAAAGCGCGCGCAAGCAGATTTGTCGGAGTTCAAAGATGACCTCTTTTTGAAGTTGCTCATACGAAATATCCTCCCTGGCTGCAAGAACTCCTGGGGGCGGATGTCGATGTAGGAATGCTCATTAACGGGCTGACGGAGTTGCAGACCGTTCACCTGCGGCGGAAGGATCTACTTGCAAGCCAGGATGGTGGCAACATCGTCTCTTTGTTGATTAATGGAGGCTATCCGGACTATTAAAAAGGGGTTGAAATTATGACTCGACAGCTAATCATCTTGCGAAATATTCTAAAAGAGGAATAATGTGGTATTAAAATGAGAGCGAAGAATGAATAAAAGGCTGGTGATGATCGCCTCTTCCCCCCTCGATACCCTTGTTGACATGCCGCAGCAGTGTTCCTCGCCAGGCGGCTAATTTCAAGCAGCAGCAGCAGGCGCAGCCTTCTCAGGCTCAGAGCTGTGGGCCGAGGTACCCGCGAGACCAGCATGAGGGTCCTGACCTGTCAAGATGTCGGACACGTGGCGCGTGACCCCGACATAGTCGTAGGCAAATTCGCGCGCACTGCACATCATCAAGACCAAGCTCCTCTTCATCAACATTCACGCGAAGGCTGAGGCCGGGGGATGAGGTTCAGAACAAACACAGATCAGGCAGGTCATGACGAAGCACCAGCCAATGACAGCGACGGCCGGGCGAGCTGGATAGCCAAACTG